GGAGGTGATGCTCCTTTTCTTCTTGAAGTGTAGAAATCTCTCGCCTCTGAAACAATATGTTGTTAATGAAATGTAAAATTATATAAACAGAATTGCATTACATTAATTTACTTACTAAGTTACGTTCTTGGACCACCTCCTCCCAATAACTTTTTAAATAATCTACACTTCGGAAGCGTTCTAACTTGACCTATTATAAGTAGAGTATTGTTAGCAGTGTACGATGAATTTTTTATTTAGTGATAAAGGAAGACATAGTTTGTTCTTTCTCCAGCACAAGCAGACCTTTACCAACAACAAAGATAGGGTGCCTGAATAGAGGACTTGGAGTGGTTACCAAGTTGTCAAATTCAGTAATTCTCCTGAAACAAAAACGCGATTGAACAGGAGTTACCCTTTCTTTGCAAAATAAAAAATACGCACCTTTTCATTTAAAATATCATAATTGTTTCGATCTAACAAATTCCTTGCTTCTGTCAAAAAATGTGCGGCCCAAGAGTTATCGAGTTCCCGCCAGTTTTTCGAGAATAACAGCGACGAAGTAACGACGGTGTCCCGATTTTGAAGTAAAAAATTACGATATGATTTATTATTTCGTTCTCGCAAGTATGAAGAAAGAACATTAAGTCCTTCATTAAAATTAACATCTTCGGAAGTAGAAGCAGTAGACATGGTGAAAAAGAAAATCTTATAACATAGTTTATGGAAAAAAGACGCGTTCATTTTAACATATTTTAGTGTGACTCTGTTCACGACATTCAATACTATTTTTGATCCACGAGTTTTAACGAGTTTAACCGGAATAGGCAGATTGTCTCGACGTCTCGTGGTTTCTAGGGTTTGTGACTTTGTGCTACAATACGGTTTGTTTGTCATAGTGAAAGTACTTCATATTTTAATTCTACGCAAAATTTTCGTGAAGACTTCTCTGAGATCTCTTCATCTAGTAGTAATTCTTGAACCACATTATATCATCGCACAGATGTCCGATTTTGATGATCGCGTTTTGGGTTGATTGAAGTTGTGATCGTTAATTTGAAATTTACTAGCACATAGAATATGCGAAAAAAACAATGAATTAATATAAGGTTATTGATTATAGGATATTGAAACTTTTGGATGCTTGGTTAACGAATTCCTTAATTTTTCGTATCCTTTCTGGAATAACAACTTCCGGGTTTTGATCATACCATACCTCAATAAGGAAAATTCCATTATCTAGACAAATGCATCTTTTTTGCCGATCACGATTAACGATGTCCTCAAGTTTTTTGACATCCTTATACCAGCTAGTGTTATGAAGCCGATGTT